AGTAGCCATCCGACCCTCACAGTTAATTCCCTGTAACTTTAAATGCCCGCTGTGCACCCCAGCCCATGTGGCTGGGCCAGAGCGTTGTCCTGTGCACTGAAGAGTTGTGGGTTCGATTCCTGATCAGGGCACATGCCCAGGGTGTGGTGCCACCCCGTCAGCGTGTGTACCAGAGGCAACTGATAGATATTTCTCTCTCTCTCTCTCTCTCTCTCTCTTCTCTTCTCTTCTCTCCTCTTCCTCTCTCTCTCAAATAAACAAAAACATCCTCCGCACTGGCTGGCAGACTCAGTGGTTAGAGCCTTCACACCTGAGGGCCTCCGGTTCGATTCCTAGTCAAGGGCACATACCTGGGTTGCACATGTGGGAGGAAACCATGATGTGTCCCTCTCACATCGGTGTTTCTCTCTCTCCTCTCTCTCTTCCCCCTCCCTTCCACTCTCTAAAAATCAATGGAAAAATATATCCTCACTCCTTGGGTGAGGATTAACAACAGCAAAAACTAACTAAACACATGTCCTTGGGAAGGATTTTTAAAAAGAAATACACATATTTGAATAGAAAACTCCTGTCTGTAAGGAGTTTCAGACAGGCACCTATCCTCCGCGCTTCTGTCAGTGACCGTGCGCTGGCTCATTCTCCGGACGCGTTTTCTGTCACAGTTCACCTCCCAGAAGCACTTGGGAGAAGCCTGATGGGAACTGAACTCACAAAGACGCCCGTCCCCTGGGTGACAGCTGAGGTGGCGCAACGCTCAGCGCTTCGGTGTCTTTTCCCTCCGGGCTTGGAGGCCCCCCCGCCCCACGCTGGGCCGAGAAGGCGGCGGTGCTTGGTGGACGTCCCCCCTTAGACACTGAATCGCATCAGTCGTGGGACCCCGCGGCGACCTGCTCGCAGCCCCATCTGGCTCACCTTGCACGCTCGGAGGGCTCCCCTTCTCCGCTCGGCTCTCCCTTCCCGGGAACCGCACTCAACCGTGACGGGAACTTCTGGGTCTGTGCTCCGTTCTTTTATTTACTTAAAAAAATTATTTTCAACATTTTTTATTTTTAGAGAGAGAGGGAGAGAGAAACATTGCTGATCGGCTGCCTCCTGCACGCCCCCTACTGGCATCAAGCCCGCGACTGGGCATGTGCCCTGACCGGGATGGAGCGGCGCCCTGTGGGGCACGGGGGTGGGGGGGGGATGCCACCCTGACCAGGGCTTTATCTACTATTTGAAACCTTTTCCCTCCTCTGCCCTTTCGTGCTGCCCCCCAGGAGGACTCCTGGTGCCGCACTTCCCACTCGCGAGCCTGCACGTGGCTACCTCCATCCTGTCCCTCCTGCCCATTGACCACGACCATGACCACGGCCACGGTGAGTTTAGCGCGGCTCCTCTCCGAGCCAGAGATGGCTTTGTTAATGGAGTTTGCTCGGTGCCACCAAGATGCCTCCCCCCACTGAGAAGACCAATTTCACTTCTGTAAAGGGCTGCTCAGGGCACTCATGGCTGCCGTGTTTCTTGTGTTGAATTGAGGGGCTCTTTCATGCCGCTGGTTTCCTCCAAAGCTTGTGATCCGTAGTTGGGTGCTCACCTTTATATATATACTAGAGGCCTGGTGCACAAAAATTTGTGCACTCGGGGGGGTGGGGAGGGGGGTCCC